TACTAGGGAACCCTGTAAGTGAACCCTATGAGGGAACCCTGCGAGGAAACCGTACGAGGGAACCCTGCGAGAGAACCTGGGTGTTGATATATGTTCCCCAACCTCCCCACCCTAATAATTAGCTTGCCACTGTTTCTTTTTTCCTACTTTTAAATTCACCTGCATTCCTCATAGGTTCCACTCAGTGCTGCTTAAACTGTGTGATTCATTCCAGGATGGTGCTTAGCGTTTAGTTCTGGCTGAACTGTTTCACATCAAAGAACAAAACGTTAAGCTGTTGGGTCAGATATGTAAACCTTTACAAAACATTTTTCTTTCACCTTTACAATGCAAGATGTGCAATATTATATAATAAGACGATTAGCCAGGTGATAGCGGATTGCCGGAGCAGCTTCCACAACAGTAACCCCAGGTACTGACTGGCAGGGTTAGCACTTGGAGACTGTTCGTGCTAATTCATGCTAACAAGCAAACCAGTCACAGGCCGCAGCGAGAGACTGCGTTGCTCAAAGCTCTGATGTCTGTTGTGCCCATTGGGTTAAAAAAAGAAACTGCAGTTAGAGTTCCATTGTGCTTTACTCGCCATTCACTTTTTAACATATCAGTTCATCAGAATGACATATTGGAGAGTTTTAATTCTCCTGTTATGCTGGGAGTCAGTTTGACCTATTTAGGTTTTTAACTTAACAGCATTACTAGTTAATCTCTGTTTCACTGTAAAAATTTAATGACTTTTCTTCCTTTGGGGATATGATTGTAGATGTGTTTTGGAAATTGCAGCCTTACGGCCTTGTGTGGGAAAAACTGTTCAGCAATTCAAAACGATAATGTGTTTCTCTGATTTTGTGTCTTTATTAATTATTTTTATGTGCTGGGCAGTTCTCAGTGCACATTTATAATTATCTGAATGTACAGAAGAAGCCTTCCTTAGCTATGTCTTACTTATTTATGCATTAGCATATGCCCAAAGATCTCAGAGATACTGACAGCCATTGAAGTGTTATCCCAGCTTGTGCGGGGTGATTGTGACATGTGAGAGGGTGTTTCAGAGGCAGAATGTGAAATTTCCTTCTAATGATTCAGTGGTAGCTGTGTCCTAATCAGATGAAAACAATGGGGAAACACAACCAGCATCAAAAGGAGGCATCGCAAGAACGTAGGAGGGCAAATCTTCCAGCAAGCATGTCTGTGGAATCGCTTCAGATCATCTGTATTGTGATTCCTTTAAATAACCATGATACCAGTGCTTGATGTGAAAAAAGACAATCTGGCTGAGATGTTTTGGTGGAGATCTCACCCATACTTCAGTGGATGGACACCTTGTTCTATTCAGAGGATTCTGCATTCTGTTTTTTCTAGGTAACATGTGATGCAAAATTTAGCCATGACTGGAACTTTCAAGTATACTTGTATATGGAACTGTTCTCTAAAACAATTAGATTACAGCGGTGGTGCTGGATAGTAGCAAAGGTCTTCAGATACTTGAAGCTTACTGGGAACAGTAAGGAGAAATAAGAAACGGCTTCATGATAAACTTCTAAATCCCTCAAAATCTGTGGATTCTTTGAAACTTTCTTTGAAAATACCTCCGTTGGGTCAGGAAGAACAACAATAGCCTCATTATGAGGACAAAGATGCATCTCAGGGTGCAAGACAACATAAGAAGCCACAAATCATCCTGGACCGCAATTCTACTGCAGGAGAGGTCGATAATTTCAGTAGAACGACAACAATGTACGGCTGCCAATGCGCAGCTCTCTGCTGGTCTCTGGTGATTTTCCCCATCGGTCTGTCGGCTTATAATGCTCGTCTCCCCTGGACAGACAGAGAAAAAAAAACAGTGGAGAGTTGGGAAATTGTATCGACGCAGAATGTGCATTGAGGAAAGGCTCTCGTCAATCCCCCAATCCATAGGCAAGGCAGGGCTGGCTGTATCGATCCCCTGCAGCTGTACCTCACAGAATCCTCCCAGAGATCAGAAGTAAACATAGGCACTGATGAAACACACACAATATGTAAGCTCTGTCTCCACATCTTGGCTGTTAGACCAGTGACTCATGTACCCAATGCTGGGAAGACATCTGCAAAATCTCACCTCAACATTCCTATTGAAACCTACTGGGTCCTTTTTAACAAAAATGAGGTATTAACTAAGATGGAGATTAGCTTAAAGAAAGAACATGCATTCACTTAAATATATTGCATAAAGATTTTTAGGGTCAAATATGTTTGCAAACAGAGGGGTATATAGCAGATAAAGTGTTACCTATGTCTTCTCTAAAGCATAGTTTACTGCCAAGCTGAGACACTGGTAGCATCACTAGCCAGACCTTTCTGTCAGATTAATACCTTTGGCGTGTGTTAACAGCCGTACGCAAAAAGCCATCTTCTGTGTGAGTTATTTTACTGGTCGTTTCACTTTGACAAAGTTATGCGTGGCGTTGAAGCGCGGTGCCACTCGTCTCCCCCGCTGCCAAGAAAGTGACAGCGAGGCGACCAAACGATCCGCAGCTCACACCTCAGACGGGAGGAGGCATCTTCCACCAGCGATTAATGGGGAGGTTTTGAATTTTTTTTGTAGCAAGTGACTAAGAGAGATGTAGGCCTGCCTGCCAGCCAGCCCTGATTGACGATGACAGGCCGCGGAACGAAGCCTTCTCTGACTGCCGCTCTAATATTGATGGCCACAACAACGTGCAGGCTTGATGACACTAATCAGTCTAAAACCCAGCCTTGCGTTACGCTGACTTCTGTGTAAGGTAGAGCTGCAGAAGTACTTTGCCGATTATCCATTTTATTCATTCCCCTAAGGAAGCAAGTGTATTAATACTCGTGTTCGAGTCCATGCATAAAAAAGCACATCATTATATAAAAACAGACATTTTAATTGCTAACACCGTTTAAAAACAAATGAAATTCTGTAAATGGCACTAATTTCACCATTAAAGAAACATCACCTTTCATCAGTAAAGACCGGACACATGTTTAAGCAGTGAAAACTGGATGCCTGCCATTAAGTAAACAGCTGATATGACATATTTAATTAACATTAGCAGTAGAAGAGGTTTCTAATATGTAAATGCATAATTAATGTGCTGACCTTCTCCATTCAGGGGTGTATTTTATGCTTATTAATCAGTAGAAACCTCAGAGTTTTCAAATATTTATTTTGAGCGGATAATTTATTGACGAACCTACGTGGCCTGCATTATGTATATTGAAAGACTGTCTTTCCCTCTAATTCCTTAAAAGGCAGCTTACTCTGTGTTCTGAAAACAAAATGTGTTCTCAGTCTCTCTTCATCGCTCATATGGAAATCAGATTCCAGAAGACAAAGGATGTGTTCGATTTCTTAATGAAACACAGCACAATATGTTTAGAATTAAGGGTGTTCATAATAAAACCACAATTTGTTCCACCTGTCCCATATCATACTTTAGAATGTAGGACGAATGGATCGATAGACAAGTCCATATGAAGTGACAGATTTCTGAAGCCATTTGTCATAGCTAGATAGCTATGTGAATGAACAGAACAATAATTTGATAGATGGAAAAATAAAAATGCTTCTTAGGTTTTCTGAGGCCTTTTAGAAAAACTGCATTGTTCTCTTGCCATTGATTGTTTTTAATAAGAAGAATTTGTCTCATTTTGTCAAAAAAACGCAAGACCGTTTTAAAAAGTTTACTCTGTACTTCATAAACTGGGTGAAGGGAGAAAAGAATGAGGTTCTCCCCTTAGCCAAGACTGTATCTCATATAACAGAAATGCCTCATCTTCAGGGAAAATCTGTCCATCTGTATCACTGAAAAACCGCCCGATTCATATCCCCGGACGGCCATGCCTGGAATTTAATCACAAGAATCCGCTTAAAATCCACATCTGTTTCCGTCCTCGGCTGTCAATCCACACACTCATCTCTCCATCCATTCTCGATACCCTGTCTCCAATCTGAGATGCAGGGATCCGGCACTCATCCAGGCAGCGTGATCATTGCGGTTCTCTAACTGCATGACATTACTAGAAAGAGCCATTTTCTGAGGAGAACGTAAAGTACACCCTTGACCTCACCCGGCTCTGAAGCATTGGACGTTGAAGCCAGGCTTACATCCACTTACATGGTGCCTGTTCTGTTGGGGTTACCCCTGCTGTCTTTAAATCCAATTAATAGTTTTAGCAGGACCTCCAACGCCTTGACTGTGCATCTGGCGTGTGATTTTCTGACTTGACATTTCATACAAAAACAGTTTTTTCTTCTTTCTTTCACCATCTTGGAGCTTTGGGGTTTCAGACCATGTCTTTGGCAGGAATGCTCTCTGATATCCAAGACAAGTGCATGAGCCAGTTATCCACACCTGTTCCCTGCAGCTCCACCTGTCATGCAGTAGGGCTAGGTGCTGGGCTAGTCTATCGGGAGGTGACAACAAGCCTCCTACTCCTTTTTGCTGCAGCAACCCATCTGTCACCTTGTGATGGACATGTATGATTTTTTTAATTTATTGGTTTGTTTATCGGGATGGTGAACGTGTGTCTTGCAAGAGAGTGGACAGCTTAAGACCATTTCGGCGACTCTGTACAGCTGTTTAATATTGGAAAGGAGAACCTTCTGCTGTGTTTTTGCAGAATGGAATGCGTGTGTGGTACGCAAAAACAGAATCTGCATATTTAATTTATTTACTGCTTACATCCGTCATGTTGCTGCAGGGGTTTGAATTCCATTCCAGCAAGATAATTAAGCTATTATTGTAAACAGCGACTGGCGTGCACTCTAAATGGTTTTAGCATTGCATGAGGAGCAGAGCTTACTGTTCGGATAATGAGATGTGTGTGGTAGGTGCTATTGCGAGGCACTACTCAGCTTGCTGGGAAGGTGGGTGAGGAGGTGAGACCTCAAGACAAGTCCACACTTGTGTCCAGTCTCTCGCCGCATGGAGACGTGCGGTCCAGCCTTATGAGCTGCTGGTGCAGGAATCAAGACCGTAAGACATTTTTTTCTTTAGTTTTCAGGAGAAGTGCCGGAGAACAGAGTCAACATCGTGGTGGCCAACCTGACAGTGATTGACAGGGACCAGCCACACACACCCAACTGGAACGCAGTCTACAGGATCGTCAGCGGAGATCCCTCTGGCCACTTCACCATACGCACGGACCCCGTGACCAACGATGGCATGGTCACCGTAGTGAAGGTAGGTGGTGTAGCATGAAGGCTTGCAGAAATTGGTTTTCTAACCCTTGAATTATTTTAGTCTCAAGATACATGTCTAAACCCCTGTTTTAAAGAACATCGTGGACTATACAATTCTAATAACACGTTTTATGACCACTTAAAAAGCTCCCCAATAAAAATTCAAGATGATCATCTGAATTCAAAATCACACAGAGTAGTTCTTTTGATTTATTATCTTTGAGATGTGAGTAATATAGTTAGGTCTAGGAAGTACCTCTGGACTCTTCAGATGAGCTGGTCGTATGGAAACCGAAAGCTCCTCATGATTTTTGAACTTGTATTTTGTGTAATGACTATTTCACATTGAAACTGAATCTTGGTCAGGAACCCAGACCCTTGGCCCAGCTCTGAAATTTGGATCGTTAACAACTGAACCAGTAAGCTTTGACTGCATTTGATCTAATTGTGATTTGTCATAGTTCTTCATTAAAGTCATGAAGAATAATGGCACCCCGCATTACCACTCCGAAACTCAAGATGTTCCAGATGGCTTGCTTCAAATCCTAATCACTCTGTGTAAAAAATGCTTTCTTCATTCTCATCAAAACAGCTGCTGTCCAATGCCTTAGCCCATGTCTAGGGTAGCATCAGTACAAAGGTAGTGCTCATGACTGACCTTATCACCTACTGCCTATGCTGTTCCTGTGTGGGGTACAGGGTAACTCTTTTTGGCTTGTCTGTCCCCATCCCTATTGTATAAAGGGTGTGGAGCATGTCCGCCCCCATCCCTGTTGAATAAAGCAGGTGGGACATGCCTGCCCCCCTCCCTGTTCTATAAAGGAGGCGGGGCTTGTCTGTCCCCATCCCTGTTGCATAAAGGAGGCGGGGCTTGTCTGTCCCCATCCCTGTTGTACAAAGGAGGTGGGGTTTGTCTGTCCCCATCCTTGTTGTATAGAGGAGGCGGAGCATGCCCCGCCCCTCCCTGTTGTATGAAGGAGGAGGGGCTTGTCCACCTCCATCCCTGTTGTATAAAGGAGGCGGGACTTGTCCACCCCCATCCTTGTTGTATGAAGGAGGTGGGGCATGCCTTCCATCATCCCTCTTAACCGTGATGACACTGGAGCTCTTTCTGAATTACATGCACGGGAGGTGCCGCTGAAGCCAGAAGGGTGGACAAATGCAAACACATCACAGGCAAATTGAATATTGATTTCTCAATTAAGGTCATGTTCACTTTTACGCACGCATAATATTTTACCCAGCACCAATAAATACTGCTACACAGAGGCAAGGCCTTTCCTCTGTTTGCTGTGATGCCACCTAACAAATGCTTCCTAGCGAGCATCACCCAGAGAGCGCCACCTAGTGACTGCCACCTAGGGAGCACCATCTAGCTAGCAGCCCCTAGTGAGCACTACCTAGGGACCACTGCCCAGTGAGCACCGCCTAGCGATCACCTTGTGAGCACCACCTAGTGGCCGCTGCCTAGCAAGCACCACCTACTGTAGCAAGCGTCACATAGTGAGCACCGCCTGGTGACCTCTGTTTAGTCATCACTGCCTAGCAACGGCTGCCTAGCAAACATCTCCTAATGACCGCTGTCTAGCAAGCACTGCCTAGCGACCGCTGCCTAGCGAGCAGCACTTAGCAGGCACCACCTAGCAAGCGTCATCTAGCAACTGCCTCCAAGTGAACACCACCTAGCGACCACCGCTTAGCGAGCGCCACCTAGCGACCATAGCCTAGCAACCGCCGCCTAGCAACTATTGCCTTGGCAGGGGAGGCAGATGAAGTTCTGCCTTCTAAGTTTTAATCTACAACTAGCACAGCACCAGTGGCTACTGTTCACACCCCTCCAAGGGAAATCTGAAAAAAGTGCACAAAAACGAAAAAAAATGCAAAGAATTATGACAAACCCTCCATCTTTAGCAACACCCCCTCCCAGATTCCACCCCTCCCACCAGATCAAAGATTGATTTTCTGCTCCTCTTTGTTATCTCAAGATGACTAGATTTATAATCTTCTTTCCTCACTGTAAGATTTAGCAGGTGGGAGTAAACTGGAATAACAACCCAAGGGGGTTTATCAAGAGATCACAGGAAAAGAGACAGTTTCCCTGGGGAGTCAGAGATACAGGCTGCAGCATTTACCCGTCAAAGGCAGGGGAGAAAGCGTGCAGAGAGGCAGACAGGCTGGCATTCGCTCTCAGCCCCCCCCCCCCCCCCCACCAAGGCCTGCTTGTCTGACTGCCTGTTCTCCGTGAGCCCCCAAGGGCTCCGGCTCAGTCAGCCACCGGAGCCACGTTTGATCACCATGTCTTCAGCCTTGTGCGTTTACCTCCCCCCTCGCCTCCCCACCGCCCCCCCCACCTTCACACACAAGGTGGCTGCTCATTGTGGTCACATCAAAAGATACAGCTGTCTCTCGATTTTAATATGTCTAGTGATGAAAATCGAAAAGAAAAAGAGCCCCCCCCCCCAGCAGATGTGAATTAATCTTCATTTTAAGGGTCATGTGAAAGGTGATGCTGATCACAACAGCTTCACCCAGCCCTCTTCATCTCAAACGGGCCACATATTCAGTCTGTGGACCCGGTGGCCAGAGAGACAATGTGCCACCGGCAGTGAAGACCGGCCGTTCCTCCTGTCGATAGTGACAAACACAGCTAGACGTGTCCCAGCACAGGCACATTCCTGCAGATGTGAATACCAAGAACGCCAAGATCTTACTTCTGGTCTTGGCAAGACTGGTCTTGCTAACTTGCCTCCTAAGAAGATGTAATCGATGTATCCTTGATATTTGGAACAAGGCAAGAACGTCATCGAGGGATTTTTACTGTCCTCCGTATTTATCTTCTTGAGTATTGGAGCTATATTTTGGCAATGGAAGATGACACCAAACGGGTACATGAGAACTCAAGTGCGGTCATGTTGCGGTCAACATCCATGGGATAAATAGAGGTGGGAGGTGGTTTGCAGGTATATCCCTCATGCACTGCTAGGGAGCCTTTGCCTGAATGTCCCTCCTACCAGAGCCTGGTAACTGGGCAGTAAATCGACAGTCTTCCCGTTGAGCGACACCCCCGGCCCCAGCGCCAGCAGCCTGTGGATCATAGCTGCAGACCGTGGCTGACTCATCGCCCAAAACCCAGCACCAGGCTGGGCCTCCATGATCGCAGGCTCTGCCGACTTTGACGTCTCTCGGTCCCCAACACCCATCAACCATCATGCCTTATTTAGCATAGCTCTTTATACCACTGCCCTGTCCATTATAATCAGCATTTAAATGCTAACACAGCCTGAGCGCACATGCATGCCAAATTGTTATTGTCAGCAATGAAGTCAAGCCGAAGCTACGGCCGTAACTGTAATCATCGTCAGTGTGCTACCGTGATGAGAATATGCTTTTCTTTATTTAATCCCAACGTCTTCATTAAAAGCGACATAAAAACGTCGCATCACTTTATCGTCAAGTGTCAGAGCGGCCGTCAGGCCACAGTGTGGAATGACATCGCGTCTCTCTCCCCCACTATGAGTATGGAGATGTCATGACTGTTATGAATATTTAAAATACGCCAGAACTAATCAGTGTTTAAAGGAGATTACAGGTAATGTCGTAAAAGGTCTCTAAAACTAAGTCATTTCCTAATTTTAGACATTTTAGTCAGCAGTCACCTCACTGACTGAACTTTTGAAAATTTTTTATTTTGTTTTCATGTCATCACATCCTTTAAGTTCAGTGTAAATGGAGCTAATATGTTCTCAAAACATGGTGTTCTGAGTAGGTAGGAGACTAGAATTTATGAAGGTCTGCTGAAGAGGAGGCTTGACGTGAAACACCCCAAAAACAGTGTGCCCCTCAGGGTTCAGTAAAGGGTTGGTTCTTTTAGGGCTGTAATTTTGGGCCATGTTCCAGCAGGACAAGCTGCCCCCCCCACCCTTTAACACCCGATTTTAGCGCTCTCAGCATCCTAAACATCTCTCTCCCCACATCCCACTACTGCTGTTTTATCCTTCTGTACACTACATATTTATTTTGATACCGCACTGCTTCCCTGAGAATTGCCCCCCCCCCATATGGCCTTTATCTAATTCCGCCATTGTGTCACATGCTATTCCCATGTGCCATCTCTTTCATCCCCGTTGCTCCAACCCAAAAATTCCACCTTCTCTGCTTTCTCATTCTCCCCCCACGTTATGCCCCCTGTTCTCTGCCTGTTCTCCATCTGTTCTCCACCTGTTCACTAGTTCTCTGCCAGTTCTCCGCCTATTCTCCGTTAGTTCTGTACCTGTTCTCCACCAGTTCTCTGCCTGTTTTCCATCTGTTCTCCACTAGTTCTTCACAGGTTCTCTGCTTGTTCTCCGTTAGTTCTCCACCAGTTCTCCACCTGTTCTCTGCCAGTTCTCCACCTGTTCTCTCCCTGTGTTCCCCGCTGTACTCTCGCTGTTTTTTTGCACAAGATCCTCTCTTCCAGCCCCCTTGTTTTAATCTCCCCTCTGACTTAGTGTTCATTCTGCCTCACTCTAACTCTGGCTTCTGCTTCTCAGCCGGTGGACTACGAGATGAACCGGGCCTTCATGCTGACCGTGGTGGTGTCCAACCAGGCTCACCTGGCCAGCGGCATACAGTCATCCCTGCAGTCCACAGCGGGGGTCACTATCTCTGTGGTGGACATCAACGAGCCGCCGTTCTTTCCGTCCAACCCCAAGCTGGTGCGCTTCGAGGAGGGCGTGCCCGCCGGCACCACGCTCACCACCTTCTCCGCCAACGACCCCGACCGCTTCATGCAGCAGATAGTCAGGTAGGCTATCGCGATCCCGGGGCCTCCCCTCATTCCAAATGCAGCCGCAGGAGACGGCTGGAAACCACACAAATCCGGCTTCCTCGTCAGCCACCAAGGCCAGATTATGCTGCTTGTTGCTGTTATCCATGAGTCTGCCATGGAGTGCTGCTCTCAGCACTCGAGGAGCTTTGGGGATTCACTCCCAGGCTGGGTTATATATAGGCTTCTGAGGACTGTCACCTTGACAATATTACTATGTATTTTTCTTGTGTGTGCAGCTTCAAAATACTCAGATCTACAGGTGCTGCAGAGAGATTGGTGATTTTCACCTGTAAGAGTGATAAACAATCACAGGAAAGCAATGACTTGGAAAATTCCCCAGTGTCGTTGGGTAAATCGGTTTCTGCGACTGCTTAGGCTAGATAATGTTCCATCCTCACATCTGACTAATAACCTGGTAATACTGCTGGTGCTTGGTAGCCAGATCATTTAAATATTAACACCTGAAAGTTTGGTAGCTAGCAACAGATTCTCAGCAGTTTTGATGGCAGGTAGCCTCCATCACATATCGAAGCAATTGCTTAATCTCTATCAATCTCCAGTAAAAAATGTAATTAAATTAATATATTCACTAATAAATTAGGCTGTAATAAAAAATCATTTACAGAGGATGAGCTCTACGTAAAATGAATCTTATAAAACTAATTTGCCACCTTTTCTGTGACATTATAAACTTTAATGCATAAAGTCGATCCCCCCCGCAGGACGCTGTTCACAGGAAGCAGCTCGTAGTGGGGGACGTGACTTTATTTCGGCAGATTCTGAGGTAGAGGCTGTAATAGTTTCGTGTTGTCCCCTACTGTCTAGGTAATTACGCATGCAGTTAGGGTGCTCGCTAATAAACACTGGTCATCAGTCTCCAAATTACATTTTAATGAGGATATTTAATACTTCCCTTCTATAATAATAAGTTGTCTCTGTGCAAAGTGCTAACCTTAGGAATTCTAGTCATTTTTATTCATAATGTGGCTCAAGTGAAGGATAACAGCTGTGTCATGGTCCTGCTGACAGAGGCTGATATTCCGTTAGAAGTAAAAACTTCTGAATAAATTCTGAATTGCCTTTTTATTAAAGCGAGGTAATACAAACTTAATGGCAGGTGCGAGCTATGACAAAATAAGCTGTTTACCAGCACAAACAGAAGCAGCTGTGCCCGCGGACGGTCTGGGTGTCGTGCTGTTCCTCAGCTACGTGTGTGGAGCTCCACAAAGGTGCTCCACAGGCTATAGCGGGCAGCCGAGCTGCTTCCTATGCGTGTGCATGTCCTGAGCGGCCTGTGGACGTCAGGCAGCTCTCCTCTCATGCCAGATGGTCCACTTACACCCTGCCACCACTCCATAAAATACGGTACATTTAAAATAATTCACTAAATTTAAATTAAGTTTGCATTTCAATATCCCCCATATCTCTCTTCAGTGCAGGCTGGGAATCCACAGCAGGCCCCAAGATTACTGAGTCAATACCACCTTATGAAGGAATGTAAACATTTTACTGAACATTTCTTTCTGTAAAATAAAGCCCGAGACTGAGGTGAGGTTTGTGAATCGATTTCGGGGAGTCTGCAGGGCGCCTCCAGACAATCCTGCCAAAGGTCCCCAGTGTCTCCCAGTGCCGCCCGGTAGCGTGTAGCTGGCATAGCTGGTGGTGCCCCAGTGGTCTGCCAGACTGCAGTCTTCTGCCTGGCGGATCTATGTGAGCATGGAGAGCCCACACAGGCACATCTTCTCGTTGGTCGTATCTTCAGTTTACACCTCAGACACAGACGTAATAAAGGCGGAGCCCTGCTGCCTGGCCGCCTCCCAGCTTGTGGGGATTGTGTTCGCTTAGGTTACCTCCAGATACTCTGCTTTCATCCTGCTACGGCTAAAACACCCCCAGCCCTGCACTCCTCCCGTGTTTGACTGTGCTAGGGCACAATGCTGGTATCTTCCCTTAAATAAGACACAAATGGAGAGAAGGATTATGGGATGGATGGAAGGTGTCAGTGCAGTCGCTCCCTGAATCATACTGCAGTTTAGCACAAACATGAGTGTTGCTGTTAGAGTTATTGATTAGTAGACCTGTTTCCCAACAGACAGAATTAGAAAGAATGATAAAATTTGAGTGAAAGCTTCTGAGTTTTAACATGCAGGGTTTTTGCAATCTGACTAATAATTGGGATGGAGGAGTGTAGTCCTGCCAGTCAAGGTGCAGCAAGATGCGTGTTTTTCTGTTTGCATGGGATGCGATTTCCACTAAAAGATGTTTCTAAAGGTGTGTTCACATGTAGTCCTTTTTAAATAAGTCCTTTGAAAGTGGAACACAAAAGTGGACCTGCAGAAAAGGGAGTCAGTTGTTTTTATGTTCACATTGTGAGTTCGATTGAAGGAGGAGTCAATTCCTTTTCTGGTCCGCTTCAGCTCTGTTGGGGCCTCAGTCCTCTTTCTGTTCACACTGTCATTACCAGCGGCCATGGTTCAGTCTGTTTATCTTTGTTTGAGCTTCCCAGTGCTGAAATACAGTGGCAATAAGTGAAGCACATCTGGTGCACTTTGTGTTCACAATGCACAGGTTAAGTGAACCGCAATGCGGACTTGAAGCGAACCAAACTGAGAAAAGCGAGAGAGAGTTCGGTTTATTTCAAGGGGGCCTGAGTTCGTTTGGAGTGTTCACAAATGCACAAAAAATGCTGACTAATTACTTGAATTTGTTTTGAGGGCTGACAGGGGCCAAGTGTGAAAACACCCAAATATACCCACAGTTAGTAGCCTGTATGTACCAACATGGTGCCCCTTGCCTTGTTTACTGTGCTTCCTAGAGCTGGGAAGTGGAAGTGGATAGATAGCATTCTTGAATGGCAGTAAAGATGATGGACCTTTAATTATAGCAATCACAGAGTGTCCTATTCTCAGATTCAGGGAGAAACGCATGCACACCCCTCCAGGATTTACAGTAGGCTAAGCACAGATATCTGTGTACTGAAAGGCTCAAGCAATTGTTACTATTCGGCGTCCCCATGGACTGGCCATAAAAGTTGACAGATTAGTGACTGTGGCGTAGAGAGGACAGCTTTGTAAAGCTGTTTTCGCCAGTGAATCTGTGTCTGATATGTGTAATAAATGCAGGACCGTGGTCTGGGTGCTATTTTACACTAAGACTGTTTAAGTTCCTGTTTGACACACGACTCTCTGAGCCCTGACACCCCCTCCCATCCCATCCCAGAGACTGACACCACTGCCTCCAGAAAGCTGGATTAATTAGTGAGCTCATGCGACAAAGTAACGCCGTAGGTGTCAGCCTTGCAGATCTGGCACGGGTGTCCGCCAGCGGGGTCGAACCTGCGTGACTCGCCTTCTCACCCCTTTCCGAGCAGAAACGCAGCTAAACAGATCCGCTGCTTAATTTCACAGCGAACGAGAGTAAATCAGGTGAACATTTCAATTTAGGAAATGTAGGCGCCCCCTGCTGGGCATGCTGAGTAACGGCACACGGGGTGCAGGTGGCGCTGGCCGGCCGTGTTCCCTCCCACACGGCTGCCCCCACTCAGCTCTGCCTCCATTCAATTTGCAGGTCAGCACCAGACTTGGCAGGTCTGTGCTATTTATACGAGGGCTCCTGTCATCACTTTGCTGATTTTTTTTTTCTTGCCTCCTGTATGTTTTTCAGCAGTAAAGTGAATTGGCTGTGGGAGGTGAAACCTGGGGTGGGGGACAGAAAGTTGCTACATCTGGCCAAGCGAGCCGGATGCGTGTAATTTCTTGTAATTATCCTGCTGGTTGAATGTGAGCGCAGCGCAGTAAAAGAATTGTGCTTGGGGATAATTAGCCTAGTTTATAACGCTATAAGGGGAAAAAAAGCATGAATTCAGGTTTATTTAGAATAATCTGATCTGACACTTTTGAGATGAATAAGGAATTTAGCATGTTCACTGAGATCCGATTAGCGAAGTTTAGCTATTTCCTGTTTCTTTTCTAGTTGAGTGTTTCAGTTCATCTTCCTGCCACACCCCAGCCTGAAATGTTTGTTACATTCTGCAGCGCCCGACTAAATGGTGTTGTCCAGAAAAAAGAGCCCTGGGGGGCATGTGTCAGGAATGGATGGGTTCAACACACATCAGAGGGTGAGGGGGGGGGGGGTGGAAGAAAACTCCAGAGCCTCATGGAACAGTCAAGCTTGGCAAGGGGTATAAAATATATATTCTCGTGCTGGACCACAGCCCCCGGCAAAGGTTCTGAGTATTCCTTTATATATTTTGCTGCAAATCAAGCAAAGCAGTTCTTCATTCTCTGACAGAGGCTACTTAGAGCTCCCCATCATCAAATAAGCCAGACCGTGAAGAGCAGGGGAAGTCGGTAAATCCCACAATCCTCTGCTTGAAACAGGCCCACGTGGGCAGGTCCACATGGCGCCAGGGTGAGGGCTCACCAAGTGACCCCTGCCCTCTCCCGGCCCTTTCACCAGAGAGGTAGATAAACTCCTCATGTTTGTCTTTATCTTTCTGCCAGCAACCTTCCCAGAATGCCGTGCAGCTTCCTGTTCCAGTTATTCAGCAGGCATATCCAAGGGGAGCAGGTGGCGTGTAGTTTACTATGGCACCAAAAGCTGAGGGCACGGACTCCAAGAAAAAAAGCAGCAGCTGAAGACCTTTCACACACATTTCCTAACCCTTTGGTACACACTGGCCTGGTACAAACCAAACTATGAAGTGTGTAGCCCTGCATGACATCAGTGACTAAGTAAATAGCAAACAATACTGATACCCAGTGTCCTATAAATGGCAACTGTTAAATTTCTGCACAAGGGAATAATTTGCACATATTTTTTTCCCATCCATCCAATTTTATCTATCCATCCATCTATCCTCCAGCCTCTTATCCTAGTCAGAGTTGCAAAGAGAATTAGATAAACAGATAAAAGTGCAATAAATTGCTTCTCTTGCTGAATATAAATGCAGATTCTTCTCCCTGCCATCCTCATCCAGAGGGTCTTTCCTGTCGTTAGGAAGGTTGTGCTTTCCTCGGTTTCATCACCGATGAACTCCTTGTGATCTTGTAAAATACAGTTTACGGCAGTCATGCTGCTCCTGCTTAATATCCCAAGCTGTAAAACTGAAGAAACAAATTATTTCTGGTGAAATATCATCATCCAGGGAAATGGGGAATTCAAAAACAGTTCAAATATTATTCCTCAGAATGTTTCCAAATTCGACTTTGATTCTAAATCACAAGTGCTCTATCGAAGACGTAAGCTCATAACTGGAATTTAAACAAACTGAAAGAATTGGTTTCCGGTTTTTGTCTGTGCAGGTGAGAATGCCGTAGTAACACTTTTCCCAGACAGGGCACATGACAAGTATTTTCCTGCTTGTATTACAAATGCCCCCACGGTGTAGATGCTCAGCGGTGGTGTTGTGCTTCCTGGCCATTTTTATTTTTATTTTCCGCCATGTTGTACCGTTAGCCATCTTCCGAAGAGCTCTGGGTTCGCAACTCTGCAAATGAATTTGGAAAATTAAGCATTCATGATTTGATAGCGGCTAATGAGGTTTGGCGTCCTGCAGTCAGCACCCACACACACTGTGTCGCCGGGAACAATCACCTCACCGAGTGTGATTAAAAATAAATAAATAAATAAACAGACAAGCATCCATTTGTTTAGGTAACAATCGGCATTGTTTTAGCGACAGACAATTTTAATTTTGCAGGTTGGGGGGTGATGTGTGGCTCAGCAGGTGAGGACGTGGGTCCCTGTGACCAGAAGGTTGCCAGTTCAAACCCCCGGCCTGGCTCACTGATGCCAACATTAAGCCCCTGAGTAAACCCCCCCCCCCCCCCCCCAAGAGACTTTACATGGGAATCAATATCATTATTCCATAGATTAAGTAGCAGCCATAGCCAACAGTAAGTAAGACTGTTCTTTCAAGTCCCTGGAGGAAGGACGTCTTCCTTGTTGTGGACAACAGCATGAAGGAGAAGTGGATTATGGAAAGTGGAGTTTGGCCTGAGTGCAGATATGAAATGAATCTGGAAACCCTGCAGACTGCTCATTTATTTACCCATTTGACATTTAATGCGTAAAAGAACGTGGAATGATGGCACTCCAGATACACGCTTTGCGTATAAATACAAAGTCTCGTGTGTCTGTGGTGGCATAGAGGGGCATAGTGTGTTGGGAGGGCATGGCCAACAGGGGGAGCTGAAGAGCAGCACAGCCACGGGGCCTGTGATGGGCACTAGCTCGTCCCCCAAAGGGTGGGTGCTGCCTGGCAGAGGAGCGAGTGGGGGGAGCAGCTCCCGCCTTGCAGGCAGCGTCCTACTTAGACACAGGCACGTGCCAATGCAGGGATCTGGGCATGCGAGCATTACCCAGCATGCTGTGCGGGGGAGGGAGCGGGCCATCACGCGGAACCACCTGTGGTTAAGGAGGGGACGTCCTCCTGGTCGTGTGCCCCATGCACCCTGCCACGTTTCAGGTCAAATCTGTCTCTGGCTCCAGGGTTTATTCAACCTCCACCCCATCTGGGTCAGGTGACCTGGGAATAGCGGCATTGCCCGTTATATGCCATCACTGTGACTATTTGTGGCTCTGGCCTCGAAGCTGCCCTCTGGTGGCGGTGCGTGGTGCATCCCTGCCTCCACTGAGGGATTGTGGGACAGAGTGTAGCCCATTACCAGCAGTCTGGATAAAGGAGCAGATTAATGTCGATAGAGGGGAAGATGAATAGATGGTGCAAACTGGGAGGCAGTCCTGCTTTGGGGGGCAAAAGAGCCTCGACATCCCCTCTGGAATGCAGGAGAAATCTGTCCAAATCCCCCAGATGATTTACCTTCTTCTATTCTATTTGCACTTCCTTTGTCCTCACTGTGCCCCCATGTGTTAAAGAGAAGACGTAATTGGTTCCGATAAGTTGTACTGAAGAGTAGAAAATGAGCGAAAATTGACTACAGACTGGAGGCAGAGGAACAGGAGCTGATGGGAGTGTTAACAATGTGAAGGTTGCAGCAGCATTTTCTCTTTTATATGCCCTTTTTTTCCTGGGTATGGCTTAATCAGTGTTGATGGAGCATGTGTGTGTGTGTGTGTGTGTGTGTGTGTGTGTGCGCGCGCGCGCAATGGAGTGAAGTGCTGAAACAGCTGTGCTTGTGTTCCTGTACTTCCTGTGTTTGTACCCTAACAACAAAGATTCCAAACTGGAAGGGACCCATTTGCATATTAAAAACTGTCTAAAATGCATCAAACATCAACTTTCCATTAAAATTAATTTGCCAGTTTATTTGCATATTTTTGGGGGAAGTGAAGCAGCCATCTACATCTGTGCCTAATCCTCTTGCTTCCTCTAGGTACTCCAAACTCTCCGATCCAGCAAACTGGCTCAGCATCAACACAACCAATGGGCAGATCATAACGATGGCCATGCTCAACCGAGAGTCCATTTTTGTGAAGAACAACATCTATGAAGCCACGTTCTTGGCAGCAGATAATGGTAAGCAATGCATGTGACATTACATATACACGCACAGACTGGCCAATATAAACAATATATTTAAACATTAAAAAAATGAGAAACTTCGGTAAACTATCGATACGGACTATTTATATGGATGAGCAGTGGCAACCTAATGGTTAAGGGAGCACACTTGTAATTGAAAGATTGCTGGTTTGACTCCTCAACCAGCAAGCCACCCCCCCCAAGCACTGCTCCCCGGGGGCTGAATTAGCTGCCCCCTGCTATATCATGATGTCACATATGGGTTAAATGCAGAGGACACATTTCACTGTTGTGCAATGTGTGTCAACACTGATCACCAAATTCTAAGATTTGATAGCATACATCAGCCTATCAGATACAGCTGTGCGGCGTTGAGCTCATGATTTCCAGAGAGGTGCTTTGCAGATTAACAGGGGAGTTTAGTATAATGATCCACTCATATGATTGCAATCCAGAAACATAGTTTTTCTGTCTTGATTTCAACAGCATGGAATGGCGTGGTGATTTGTTTTGTCTAACCAAAGCACAATCCGGACAAAATCTCGGCAAACGAGCCATGGTGCATTTATCTGAGTCCTGTGTGGTGTAGGGATGTGATGAATTGATATTGAAATATCATCTTTTTTCTATCTGAATTGTTTCATTTTGAAAATCGATTAGAACGTAAAAATATAGATTTTGATAGCGGTGATGATACATTTAAATTCTGATTACCCCCATAAGGGGAGGAGGGGGGGGAGGTGATGGGTGGCAGAGACTGGGGAAATAAAACGGTCCATAAGGCAGAAAGGCTTGGCAAAAAAAGGGATTGTTATGTAGCCTAATTAATAGGGTTTGGGTTAGATCCTGCACTGAATATTTATAATCGAAATTGGGTTGAAAAGAAAATCAGTGGTATTGCTATTGTTCAATTACTTTGACTGAAAAATGCATGTTTATTAAAATCTTATTTTTATTAAAATATCGGTCATCTCCGAGTCATGTGAATGTATATCGATCATTTCTAGTCTAAATAAAATGAAATACAATCATGTAAGCAGACTTTAGCTTTTCAAATATAAACAAACAGCCTCCAAAAGCCTAATAAAATTTTGAGTACCTTTTTGCAAACATATAATCTAAGTTTCCCAGAACTTTCATTAAAGGATAAAAACCAACACCAAAGCCACAGCATACAGAGCACAACAAACGCTGTTCGCAAAGGCTACTGAGATCGGCAAATTTACTAACCAGATCTCTTAACTCTCGAGTAGACTTTCAGCATAATCAGAACCTGTCACTCTGTGACTTTTGGGTCTCGCGAGGCTTGCCAAGAAAACGCTTGAACAGAACTTGCCAAAATGCCAAACTTCTAATTACAGTGAACGTCTTAAACTGAACGTGACAAACTTGCTAACATGTCGATTGCCGGAGTCAGGTGTACTGATCCACAGGCACCGTGCAGCGGGGCACGAATACAGTGCACACACCAAGGAATACAGTATGCGGAACATGGATGTTATCCAGTGAGCTGAGACGAACACTGGACTCCTTCAGTACTGTCTCTCTTCGGAGAATCCTTGGGTACCGCTGTTTTGACTTTGTGTCGAATGAGCGGTTGCTCAGGGAGTCCCGAATGAGGCACATTACCTGCATTGTGAGGGAGCGTCAGTTACGGCACTACGGCCACGTGGCACGTTTCCCTGAGGGTGATCCGGCTCACTGCTGAGGACCCGAGCGGCTGGACCAGGCCAAGGGGACGCCCACATAACACCTGGCTGCGGCAGATGGATGGTCATTTATGGAGGGTGGGACTGGACCGCATGTCGACCTGGGGGGTTGCCAAGGATCCCGGGGTGTTTTGTTGTGTGGTGGGGGCAGCAATACGCTGTACCAGTGTATGTTCCCCTGTCTGACCAGGAGGGGCACTGAGGGCAATATGGCTATGGAGAGTCTACAGAAAGCAAATATAAGTGAATTTAAAAAGGTTGCTGTGTGTTTCTTATATGTCAGTTTGTCAAATATTTTTAGATTTTTAGGATCTAAGATGTGTACCTGTACCACGCGAGGATCTACAAGTTAGATTCTCTTAAGTTTGAAAAGCAGTTAAACGATTCTCTGAAAAGACCTGGTTAAAAATAATGATTTGTTCACGAATCGGACATCACTACCCTCATTCAAGGTGGGATGTCTTGTTGCGGGTGTTTATGATGAGCGACTCTGCATTTCGGTTGTGGGAAAGACATAGCCTAGCAGGCGCGCTTTTATCGCGCAAATCGCATTAGCGACGGAGACTTTCCCTTGCACTTAAGAGCGCAAGTTAGCAGCGGTGGCGCTTTGAAGAGCACGCCCGCGGGGATCTTCGCCCGGCGCTCCGTTCGTCCTGTCCGCCGCCTCACCAGCGTTTCAGAGGCGCTGCAGCTGCTTAATGAGGGACAGGCGATGCGTGTGAGGACTCTCAGGCAGAGAGATGCGTGCTTGAAAGGGACGGCTGCGGCTGTCCACCGCGGAGATACGAGCTCACACTTCGGGGAGTTTGGAGCCGATTCCTCTGCCCCCTGCGTGAAATGCGGCCGTGAGTCGCATTAACTGGTGAATTAGCGACGGGTGTGCAGACAGTCTGGGTGTAGTGGGAGTGTCACCAGCGATAATGCAAAGGGGATTATGGTAATAGAGGCTGGGGGTGGTGGCATTTGGAGAGTAAACACTGTCAAAAATATATTAAAATCCCAGCCATCATTGTCGTAATCCGTTTGGCACAGCATTTTAAAAAATCGCCTCTTTGTACCTATAAATAGTTGGTCTTAACCTGCATTTTCTCTTTTTTTTACGTGAACAAATGTGTGAAAGACTGCTGGAGACGTTTTCTTCTGACCCCTTTGAAGCAGTATCCTGCAAAAATGTAATAAATCCTTTAATATTTTACAAATCCTTTTGAGGAATGTGCACCAACATAATTATTTACAAGTTGAAAACTTAGTAATGCTTGAGAATGTGGCTTGAGATAATTGTGGGTACATGCAGTGTGATTAAGTGGGATATGCGTAATAAACCAGAAGGGGGGGTGGGGGGTGTTAGTCAGGTGACAAGCACATTCACTTCAGAGCCAGGTCCCGGGGCCCGTCGTCGCTTCTGTCCCCAAATAGAGTTCCTCCCCTTCTCCCATCTTCCTATCATGTGGGTCCCTCCAGGACCAAGTACATCAGACCAGTGTGCAGTGAGATAAGCTGAAACAACTGAACAGACGGTGTTCCACTGAAAGTTAGTAGACCAGCTTAGGAACGTCGTATCTCTCTGACCTCCTCCCATGGCCACAAATCCCACTGTGTTCAGCACAACAAGCTGTACTGAGAAGTGCCCCCCGGGGGCAAATTCTGCATTTCGTGAGTCTAATGTTGGCTAAACATTTCTGAGGCATTCTGAAGCCAAAACCATCAAAATTATTTTAACTGGTAACACCTCACAGTGTGTCCCAATTAATTTAAAGATTGAACCACAAAACTTACACTCTATTTATTGCCATGTGTAACATAGTTTGTCACTGTTTCAGCTATTTAAAGCTAAAGAATAATAGCAAAACTGAACATCTAAAAAAAGAAAAACATTTTTTCTTTTGCAAAAAATTAATTCTGAATATGATGGTTCTGCATGAAGTTTTTTTTAATTATATTCTCCTTATTCTAATCAAGAATTATGTTATTTGCCCGAATTTGCCCACTTAGGAATATGTAGGGCTCCACCATGAAATTGTTGTAACTAACGCTGACTGACTGCGGCTCCTCGTCGACTCTCCGGTCAATAAACGATCTGAGCTGAAACTTTCTCTAGACGCGAATGCCATTGAGGTGCTGTGGATCGACTCCAGCTGCAGCCTTACCGCATTCTGTCCTTTCACTGCTCCTCTCCTATTGGTCACTGCCTCGGTGCTCATTTTGCTCCGCCCCCACTGCGCCCCCCGTGCGGCACCAATCGTCGGTATTGTTCTCTTCAATCAATGCAAATGGAAATCTGACTGTGGGGGCTTGTCTGCCATGTACTGAGGGGAAAAAAATGCCCGCTGTCAGGAGGAGATTGCCGTGCCACACAGAAATGCGGTGGCACAGCAATTAGAGGGGAGAAGGCAATTCCTCAGAGGCAGAAAAACGCAGTTCAGGGAAACATTTACCCCGCGTCCTGTTTTCAGAGTGTTTGTCACCACTGTTTTCAGGGCAAATAATGTATTTTGTGGAAAAAAATGGACCGTGAATTGTTTTCTTTGCCAGCAGAAAAATTCCCTCCCCTCCCAGCTGGCTGAACTGCACTCTTTGGGTTGTGTGAGGTCATGTGAGCCCCCCTCCCTCCCGCTTTGGGGAGCGGGCCTCAATCTGTCAGGGGGAAGGGCAGAGGGGGGAGACCTGGGCCATGGCGTGAAAAGGGCAGTCACCTGTCCCCCCGACCCCCCCACTTCCTAGATAAATGCCCAGTGTGGCTAGTTTACAGCCATGGCAGGGGGCTGCGTTTGTCTCACGGCCCACTTCCCAGCAGATCAGCTTTCCTTACTGTGCCCTCCCCCTCCTCCTGCCCCCCAGGATCTCCCCCAGCTAGCGGCACGGGAACGCTGCAGATCTACCTGATCGACGTGAACGACAACGCACCCGAGCTGCTGCCCAAGGAGGCTCAGATCTGCGAGCGCATCAGCGCGCACGGCATCAACATCACGGCCGCCGACGCTGATGTCGACCCCAACGTGGGCCCCTTCATCTTCGAGCTGCCTGCTTTCCCCTCCAGCGTGCGTCGCAACTGGACCATCTCCCGGCTGAACGGTGAGGCCCCGCCCCCACCAAGGCCCAAGGCCACTCTGAGCCATTTTCTAAATCACCGGCCAATCAGCCGCTCAAATGCATCTCAGGTGCATTACGGCGAAACTCTTACTGTTGTGACAGCACTTCTGAGTGGAGTGCACATTTAGACTGTCCTTAAACTCAGTCGGATCCCTGTGTTTACCACCCCTCCCCCACCCCCCAGGTGACTACGCCCAGCTAAATCTGCGCATCCAGTACCTGGAGTCCGGCGTGTACGATGTGCCGGTGATCGTGTCCGACTCGGGGAACCCACCTCTGTCCAACAGGTCCGTTATCAAGGTGAAGGTGTGCCCATGTGACGAGAACGGGGACTGCACCACCGTGGGGGCCGTGGCGGCGGCCGGCCTGGGCACTGGAGCCATCATCGCCATCCTCATCTGCATCATCATACTGCTCAGTGAGTGGCTGCGGCAACTACGCAAACACAGGGAGCAGGCACGCAGGCACA